TTACTGTCCGCTGGATCTGTTCAGCGGGTGTCCGCAAAGAACGCAAACAGCTCTGCGCGCTCTCATCAGAGACCCGCAGAACAATTTCCGCGTTTTCCGCGATTCCCATCACGTGTTCGGCGACTCCGCCGCCGCCGACTCTTCCGCTTTGTCGCCGCTTTTGCGCGACTTTTGCGGCCAATCGGAGGACGACGTGGAGGGCGCCCTCTGCCGGCTGGTGGCCAAAGCGCTGGCCCTCCGAGTGGACACTTCGCGGCCCGAAGACGAGGCGCTGATGGCCGAAGAGGAATGCGATTTACACCACAACTCGAATCACTGTTTCTGCACTTCCGGTAAGAGCTCTCTCTCTCCCCCATCACGTGACTCTCTCTTTATTAGAACACGCGCTGACGTCGGGCTCTGTTCTGGATTGCGTTCTTCGCGCGCAACGCTTGGATGCGATCGATTCGGAAGTCGCGCTGCAATTGTTGCAACGCGTGAACAGCAACGACGTGTGGACTCCGCCCACTCTGGACGCGGCCGACCAATCGGAGGATTTGGCGCTAAAAGTGAGAATCAAAGCGACCAATGAATGAATACTAATGTTTNGTGAGAATCAAAGCGACCAATGAATGAATACTAATGTTTTCGATTCGTCGACAGGTTTTTCGATTTCTGGTCTCTTTGACGGCCAAAGACCTGTCAATCATGATAACAATGCAGAGACTGGAGGCGGGGGCGGACGTGACGTCACTGCCTTCGCGGCACCTGATTGGCGACGCGGAGCGCCAGTATTTGGCGTCGATTCGAATCATAGATTTGGATCAGAAGAGCGATCAGAAGATCAAGAGAACGTTCTCGAAGGACATGCGAATGATCGCCGCCTTCAACACGAGCGCCAAAAACAACAACAATAATAATTCTGTTTAACATTTCTAGTCTTAAGTCATAAAAGTTTTATTTATTTTTAACTCTTTTTAAATTTTAGTTTTAATTAAAGTCTATTTCAATCTAAATATTATCACAACTTCTGTTACTTGTGTTTGATGTTCGCCGCCAACGCCCTCTGGTGTTCATTTCCGCCCCAAACGCCGCAACTCACGTCCAGCTCCTCTCTTAATGACAACTCCAACGGCAGGAATCGCGCGCAGTTCACGATCTCTTTCACCGCTTGAATGGTCTCCTGAGAGCGCGCGGCCAACAACCGGTGGATCCACGCGCGCCCTTCCGCCACGGCGTCCGCTTCGGCGCTGATGACGTCATCGACGAGACCCAATCGCAACGCCTCCTCGGCGTCCAGTCGCCGCCCACTCAACATCATGTGCAACGCCTTCTGCGGACCGACCAATTGCGAGAGACGCGAACCCTAAGGACAGACA